GATGATGATGATGATGATGTGAGGGCACATACCTTGTACTGGCGATGGTCTGCACTGAGCGACATCTTCAAGTACTTCGGGTTGCCGCTGATGTCAACAGTTGCATTGTCAATTAGTAGGCTGATAATAGCTGTGTAGGAGTAGGCTAGGCGCTGAGCGCCAAGTAGGAGAGTGAAGGGACTGGACTCTTGTGTTGGTGAGGAGAGAGAAAGCTCTTCGTGAAATTGGTTTCCAGTACTACGAACCTCCATTGGTGTATTATTGGTGCAATGCTGCTCTCTGGACACGGTGTGACTATCTGGCTTTCAATGTGATTGTGTAATCTGGATTTGTCATCTCGCTGTTGCTCATTTTCCTTGCAATTTGGTATCAGAGCTGGTTCATATTGCGCTTCATTGGTTCTTCGCAATAGCTGTTCGGTGCTTCGCATGAGGTGTGGGGCAGTGATAAGGCTTGGGCGTTGAACGTAGGGCGGCCCAGGGTCGTGTGGGCACGCCAGGAAGCTATGTGGTGACATACGGGTGTATGCTGGATGATGAGAGCTCGCTGATGTGGCATATTAAGCCGAGGTGGAACTGCATTCTGTTGTTGGTTGTGTCGAGGCAAAGACCGGTCATCATAAACGCACATCAGGTCGCCGGTGAGAAATCTGTGGTTGGGGGCAACATTATGAGGTACGTTGCTCTCTTCCTTATCTACCCTCTTCATTACTTCTTACCCTGAGGAAGTGAGTCTTGTCTTGAGAGTCCTCTCGATGTGAGGTGTCGTGAGCGCTCAGCCTTGAGAGTCGACATTCTTCCTGGGCAGCAAGCTGGTGGGAGACGGGCGAAGCCTCTGAAGGGCCCTGGACGAAGCATTCGGGTCACGGTCACCATGCCAACCCGCTGGGACTAGTACACGCATGCTTTGCCGCAAGTCCTTGGTTCTACTGCTTGCGCAATAGAGGTCATGCAGGGCATGCCAGCCCTTTGAACAGACGCTTACCAGACCGTCTTTAAATATTTCTCGCGGGTACTCGGTGTTGACTCTGGCTGTGATCGTCGCCCTGTCTGTGACGTTAAATAATTCCTGCGGAGTTCGGGGGATCTCCTTAAATGCCTCCTGATCAGCCAGATCAAACCGGGTGTAAGGCTCATTGCATGCGAGGGTAAATAATGTGCAAGGGGCTGGCAGGTTCGGCGTTGACTTGGGCCATAGGGGTGGGCCAGATTGCACACCTTTAGACACGCTGCTCAACCAGATGCTCAGGGCGTTGACACAAAGTGACAACTCAAGAAGGATATAGGGGGAGGGGGGATTCCGGTAATTGTTCACAGTGGCAATCATTAGACAATCTGCCATCCAGTATACATCTCCAACATGAGATATTATTTTTATTTTTGATTATTTAGTTGTTACAAACTTGACTAACAACTGACAGACAGCTGTAGACAGATTAGTTCTTTGCTGCATTGCAATCTGTTCTAGAGTAATCTAAAAATAGATGTGATATTTCCTGTAGGATCTGACATTAGTTGTTACTACATCACCTAACTGTTTCTGTTCAGTCCGACCGAAATTAGTTGTGATTTGTAATCGGTTGTGTGTCAGGCTAAGGTAGGATTCAGTGTGGATTCTAGTTTAGATCACACACACTGTAGCTCATGAGTGATGCAAGCACTAGTGAGGAGGAGTTGTTAGTGGACGACCGTAGGACTACTCATGGAACAGCTCGCAGTCGACCTTTGACTTTCCTAGAGTTAGGTCCAGGAGACGAGAGGAGATTGCGGAGAGAGGCTAGAGAGAGAGAGCAGCGGCAAGGAGAGCGAGGGTAGCTGAGGATAGTGCCAGGTCTAGGATTTCAGCTTGCACCGGTACGACCATGGCTACTTCATGTACCATGTCGCAGGCCTCTTCACAGGCCACTTCATCAGGAGTTAGTCAAAGTGGTTCTCAGGGGTCCATTAGCCAAAGTGCTGGCTTGCGAGTCAGCCAGCAGACTCAACTCACGCCGAAGGATTATGAAATCCTCCAAGCAGAAGAACTTCAGGATGAGCTACAGCGGCAATTGGATGAGGCAGCAGAGAGGAGAAGGAGAGCAATCATGAGAAAAGCTAGACTAGGTAGTAGGAGAGAGGAGCTAGGCAGATTAGAAGCATTAGATGAGTCAGCACTTGACCCTGCGATACGAGCGCTGCGTAACTCGCTTCTTTGTGTGGCAGAAGCGCAGGCTGTCCAGCAGGAAGTGCTGGCTGAACTAATGGCAGGCCAGAAGCAGATTCTGGCTGCACTGCAGGCTCCTCGTCCCATGATGAGGCAGCCTCAGTATGTTGTAGCTCCCCCTTCGGGTGCGGGTCCATCAGTGATTCTGTCGCCGGTAGGGCCTCCATTCTCACCTATGTTTGGCATGCCCCTCCAGGTGGTTTTGTAGCAACTAGTGGTCCGGTTCATAGAGTCTCAGCCGTACCATCGACGACAGTGGTTACTACAGTCCCACTATCAAGTCAAGCCCAGGTTAGCGTGCAGCAACCTGTTTCGGTGGCTATGCAGCCACTGCAGCAAGCCCCTGGGTCCATGCAGCCTATGCAGTGGATGCCCAAAATACCCTTGTTGAGTCATAAGCCCTTCTCCGGCAACAGGAAGAAGGACGAGGATTTGGATACCTGGGTAAGGACGGTGCCTACCTATGTAAGGCACAAGCTTACCAGGCCACAACAAGAAGTTGTTGTGGCTGCCTCCTTTTTAGAGGGGTCAGCAGCCCGTTGGTTGAATGGCCTAGTGCAGCAGCAGGGCTACGGTAAGAACTTCGATGCCTGGGCCCACACCCAGACATTGGAAGAGTTTGTACGGTCCGTGTACAACAGGTGGCATGACCCTCAAGGGGCTCAAAAGGCTACCGATGCAATCAACAGTCTCTGTGCCAGAAGGTACAAGAATGTTCAAGAGCTAACGGACACCGTAGAACGTCTGCTCGTGGTACCTGGTGTGCGTTATGACCAGCAGGTACTCCTCACGGATTACCTTAGATGTCTACCTTCAGAGGTCAGGACAAAGCTGGTAGACGAGGCATATGTCGAGCAGCACAACTTCGCCTCTTTCAGCAAGAAGGCCTTAGATATAGAGGCAAAATTGGGATCTGCGCATCAGAGTCAAGGAGATGGTAGGAAAAAGAGGGTACCCCAGGACTGGAAAAGGAAAGGTCAACTAATGTTCGTCAACCACGATGGTCAGGCAACAAAAATTGACGATTTCCCAGACCTTGGGGAGGAGACAGAGCATGATGGGGCCAGTGAGACTTCGGATGGGGGAGTCGTGGCACCCATCAAGGAAAAGGCTAGGGAGACCGGGAAGAAGAAGGTAGGCCGGTCTACGGGTCAGGGCGACCAAGGAACACCCGTTTGGGTGAAACTTGATTTAGAGTACGAGGTTTGGAGGGATCGAGTTGCCAGGGGCACGTGTATGAACTATGGCAACTTTGGCCACACGTCAAGAACGTGTCGAGGCAAGAAGGTCACCACGAGGGTGGCCTCACCAACGGTGGTGGGACTTTCTTCAAACTTTGGCAGTGCTTCTGCGAGCACTTCGCAGGGAAACACCTCGGGCCAGTAGGAGTTTTAGCCGCTCTTACTCGCGCTGAAGT